ATAAATTGTTGTTTTTCACTCTTTTTATTTGCCTTTGATCCCAAAAAAAATTTTAGCCTAATTTTTATTTCGGAAAACTGTTGTTTTTTCCCTGAATTTTCAAAATTCTTCAATTAATAAAAAAACGAATTCTGCAAATGGATTTGTTTTCGAAATTAAAATTTAAAAAAATAATGTGTGTGTTTGTGTGTAAAAAATTATTATTTAGGGATTCGAGAAAGGAAATTCCCCATTGGATGTGACGTGAATAATGAGTAACCTTTCGAATAATTAATGTAAATCTACAAAGTCCTGTGGTTTTTGATGAAATATCAAATTACATCAAACTATAATTTATTCGAATTTAGCGAAGGATATAAATACTTGAAATTTCACGATATTATACCAAATAATTTAAATATTTATTTTAATACTTTTTTTGTGTTTTTTTTTACCATTTTATTTTTATTAATAATAAAAAAATAGCAGATCCTTTTCATCCCGTTTAGAATTTTAGACTTTGTGTAGGAATTACAATGGAGTTATCAAAAGACGATACATTATTCATAAAGACAATCGATATGTAAATGTATCGCTCTGAATACGGATTTTTTCGGGATTAAGTAAAAAAAAAAAAAATTCTCCTGTGGTGACATTCTTTATGGTAGGAAAAAAATATTTTATATTTTTATTTTCTTTTATAATATTTATCTGAAAGTGGTGATTATTTATTTTTTATTAACATTTCTAGGGTATTTTTTTTCGTTCGCATTTCTGGGGATTAATATTCTCTAAATCTGAATTATTATTTTTCATTTGGTAATAATTAAAGAATTTGGAGTGAAATAATTTAATTTTGAAAAGTAATTAAATTTAGAAAATTAATTAAAATTTAGAAAATTAATTAAATTTAGAATATTGATTATATTTAGAAAATTAAATGAATAAGATTAATTAAAGTGAATTAGTTTCGATGTATTAATTGTAAATGTACTTTGACAAATATGTGTAGATATACTAAGAGAAAAATTTGATTATCACTGTTATTCACTTTCATTCGTATATAACAAACTAGAGCGTTAAATTAAATATCACTTTTTTTCAAAGTGATTTTAAAAGGTAGAGGAGGTTAAATGAATTTCCTTTTTAGATACAAAAATTTCTGAAAGCATCGAGAGAAAAGCAGTCCTCATTCAATATGATAGATTTTCATTATCTTTATCAGTAAATTTCATTTCACTTTTGCCGCAAAGAAATATTATACATATATAGTCAAACGTATATATGTATGTATATAACCAAATAATAATTCTCTCATATGTTTCTATCAATATTAAAAAATTTTTTTTCAAATAATTAGATCACTATAAAAGCTGTTCCTTTTAAAAGTACAAGAAACGTTTTCTTTTAGGTTTTTCGCATTTAAAACAAGACGTTTTTTATTATTCTATTTATTATTATTACTATCATTGCTAATTATAAAATAATAATAATAATAATAATAATAATAATAATAATAATAATAATAATAATAATAATAATAATAATAATAATAATAATAATAATAATAATAATAATAATAATAATAATAATATCTCTGTTAGTATTATTTTATTATTATTATTTTTATTATAATTATTTTAATTACGGTTCCATTTCTAATTATTATTAATATTACGATTATTGTTATTATTATTGCTAATTACAACTTTATGGGATTACGATTTCCCTATCTCGTTAACTATAAACTTCTTGAGTTTAATTACGAAATTGTATATATTTGAACTTAGTCTATATAATTAACCTTTCGTGACATTTTGTTTATTTATCTACACACGAAAAGAATAAGTTTATTTAAATTAGACTTGGATATAGGGCAACAGTTTCTAAATAATTTTCTTATAGAGTAGAGAAATTTTTTTGGAATCGTTTCATTTAAAAAAAAAATACCTATAATAAAAAATTCCCTTTGGTATAAATTTTTCGAAAATTGTTTCTAAATATTTCTCTTATTTAAAAAAATTTTAATGAAATTCTTCGTAGCAATTGAATTATTTTCCAAAAATATTACTAAACTTCTTCGTAGAAATTTAATTAATTTCAAAAAATTGTCGAAATTCAATTATTTGCAATATCTATTATATAAATAAAATTTTCCTAAAGAATTAAATTATTTTTAAAAAAATTTACGAAATAATTATGAATAATTTTGAATTAATTTAAAAAATGCAATTATTCATGGAAATTTTATTAAAGTTCGTCAAAATAATTAAATTATTTAAAAATTTGTTGATAAAATTCATTATGAGAATTCAATGTTAAGAAACATTTAATTATTCAAGAAATAATAATTTATTGAATAATTCAATGTTTCTTTTTCTCTCTTATTTTTGTATTTAAATAATTGAATTCTCGTAGAATTTTCTAATAAAAATTGATTTAAAAATGAATTTCAGTTAAAATTTTAGATAATAATAATTGAATAAAAAAGCATTATAATAATATGGAGTTTTAGAAAGAATTGAATTTTGAAAAGGTTTCGAATTAAAATCTTTAAAAATTAAAATTTAAAAAAAATTCTTTGCAAAATTCAATTATTTTTATAAATAACAATATCCATCACAAGAATTCAATTATTTTCAAAATTAATACAATTCTTCGAAGAAATTCAATTATTTTTAAAAATTTTAACGAATATTTCGTCAAGAATTCAATTATCTTTATAAATAGCAAAATTTTTCTCTAAAAATTCAATTATTTTCAAAAAATTTAAATAAAATTCTTTGCAAAAATTCAATTATTGTTATAAATAAAAAATTTTCACTGAAATTGAATTATTAAAAAAGATTTTTTATAAAATTCTTCACAAGAATTGAATTATTAAAAAAAATTTAATAAGATTTAACTTTTTTCGCAAGTGTTCTATTATTATTTTTATAAATAATAAAATTTCATTTAGGAATTCAATTATTTTCTCGACTGAATTTTAAATATTTTTAATACAATTTTCAATAAATTCCTAGAAAGATGCAGTTATTCTTAAAAATTTTATTGAAACTCAACGAAAGAAATCAAATTTAAGAAGCATTAAATTATTATTCAATAAAATAATAAAATTCGTTGCAATTATTCAATTATTTTTATAAATAACTTTTAATTTGTCTCAAGAAATCAATTATTTTCAAAAAATTTTTAAGTAATTCTGCACAAGAATTCAATTATCTTGTTAAACAACAAAATCTCCCCATAAAATCAATAATTAAATTCTCGTAAAATTTTCAAATAAAAAATTATTTAAAAATGAATTTCGGTTAAAATTTTAGATAATAATATAATATTAAAAGTATTATATATATATATTTATATATACATTTTTATAGATATAAAATCAATAATTAAATTCTCGTATAATTTTCTAATAAAAATTGATTTAAATGAAATGAAAATGAATTTTGGTTAAAATTTTAGATAATAATTTAATATTAAAAGAATTATAGCATTGATTTTTAGAAATAATAGAAATTTGAAAAGGTTTCAAATTGAAATCTTTGGAAATCTAAATTTTTCGTTGTTTTAAATAATAATTGATTTAAAGAAGAATTTTAGTTAAAAATTCTAGAAAATAATAATTGAATTTAAATGATGAAAATAATTTAGAAGAAGTTAGGAGTAACAATATTCTTATATAAAATAATAATTTTATCTCTGGATTATTATCGTTAATTAATTATTATATAAAACCATGAAGAAATCGATTACTCCGAGTCAAAGACTCGGAGTGATTGACTTCTTCATGTTTATAATAATATTTTTATAAGTTGTTTAATTTCAAGAAGGTTTGAATTTGAATGTTTTGAAGAATTTTAATTCCTAATGAAAAATAATAATGATAAATAAAACAATAATTGTTTTCAAATAATTTTGCAATAATTAAAGAAATTCGCAAATATTCGAACATTTTTTTGAGCTTCTAATCATTTTTAGAGTGAATCAGAATATTCTTTAGTGTCAGGGAAAAGGTCAAAATTCTTTCTGGAAATCAGGGAAAAGTCAGGGAAAAACAAAGTGAAATTTTTTTGGCAACCCTGTTTGTATAAAATAATTATTTTATCATTCTGTCATCTTTAATTATTATAAATATAAAATAATTATTTTATCACTCGGTCATCTTTAATTATTATAAAACATGAAGAAATCGATCACTCCGAGTCTTCGACTCGGAGCAATCGATGTCTTTATATTTTATAGTTTGCAAAAATTTAATTTATAGTTTTAAGCAAAATGTTCACTAATTGGATTCGGATTGTTTATAATTTTGTCTGTAATCGGTTCGTAAATGGTCAGTAATTTTTTCAATTTTGGTCTTTAAAATCTGTATTTTTTGTATTTTCAGTGGTTCGAGCCTTGTTTTTATAAGATTTTTGAACCAATAGATGTAAAAAAAATTGAAAATTTGATGTTTAAGATGACGAAGTGACTCACTTCTTATTAGTTACTTTAAATTAATTTAAATTTAGAGAGAAAAAATCGTCAGTGAAATTGAAATTAGCGACACTTTCATGACTAAAAATTTAAAAAGAAACAATTTTCGACTTTTAGGGATCTAAGGTTATATATTTAGAGATATGTGAGCGCAATATTAATAAATTCTCCCAAGAACAAAATTGAACAAAGCATTAAATTTTTGGTGCGTGTTGAACATATATTATTTGTGTTTGAGATTGTATCAAAGTTTCGTATGAAAGCATCTCCGTAGGATTACATGTATATATGAATGTGTGTGTGTGTGTGTACAAGACCCTTCATTTCGTTCTTAATCCCAGGCTCTTGAGAGCAGCGTAAATGCCCCCGCATTTTTTGAAGAAGAGTCTCTTGTCAGTTACTCTTGCTCTCGCAGGCAGGTTGGCAGGCAAGGAAGGAAACACAAGGCTGGCAGGGAAGGCTAGGCCTGGCCTCAACAGGAGAACTCTCTCTCTCTCTCTTTCTCTCTCTATATATATACAGGGTTGAGCTTGAAATAGATCGATGGCGAGCTTTTTGACGCAAGCGCTCGAAGCGAAACCCCCTGCGCGCTCGAATGTTGTGTAGGGGGTTTGGGGTAAAGGAGAACCATGGCTATCCGGGAGTTCGTAAATGGGGGAGAAGATTTTCTGGGAGTAGGAGAGAGATTGGTCGGTAAGAGAGATGGAGTTAGAGGAGGGGGTGTAGAGGGGAAGTGAGACACGCGACCCTCTCACCTGTTTGCCAACCCGCCAGTCTGGTTTACGCGCCCGGTCATCCGTCGGCGCTACAAGTGGTCTCTCGTCGTCTCTCTCTCTGACTATATTCTAAATCGTGTGCATGTTTCCCATAGAGGCCACGTTTATATATCCTTCGCGATTCAATTAATTAGTTCAATTAAAACACACGTTGGATCGAGACGTGTTTTACATTTGTTAAAGTCGCGTCTCTCGTTCACCGCGGGGGGGGATTATTATTATTATTCAAATAATTTTTTCAACGAGTTGTGTGAACTGTTTTTTTTAAAATCATCTTCTCACTCAAATGTAAGTAGTATTAGTTTATATTTCGTCAGGCGAGTTTTTTTTTTTTAAATAAAAGAAAAAGTTTTTCGTTTGCCTTCATTTGTTATTATTTATAAAAAATGTTCTTTTTCTAAATATTATTTTTGTTACGTAACTAATAATAATTTAAAAAATAAATTTAGTTATACGAATATACGTACATTAAATGTATATACATGTAAAGTTTCCAACTGTCAAGTGGAGAAAATGGTCGTTGGAAGATAAGATGTGCGAGAAGAGGGTGGAAGGGTTTTCAAGGGAGGAAATAAAAGTTTATGTAGAACAAGAGCGGTGATAAGTGACAGACAAGTTATCTTGTCTGTTTTCAGTTAAATTTTATTCTCGTATCGAGAATATTGTTTTAAATAAATAAATTTTTATCCTTTTATACCAAATGGTGTCTAAATATTTTTAATATGTTCAATATGGATTGAAATTTATTAATAATCATGACTTTCAATTTTTATGGTAGAAAAATTGTTGATTTGTTTATTTGTAAATTTAATTTTAAATGTATGAATATTATTTATTATTAATTAATAATTAATAAAAATTATAATAATTCAAACTTGTAACTAAATTTGAAATTTAAAAATTATAACAATTTTGCTACAGTAAAAATGTAAATCTACTCTTCAAATTTAAATCACTAATATAGTGTTTACTAATTTGAATTTGAAACTGACTTTTCGCTTCGGAATTAGTAAATTCAATTTACTTTACTAATAAATAGTAAGTTCTAATTTATTTCAGCAAAAAGAATTTTATTCTTAGAATTTTTGCTTTTAAATTAGTATATTTTACTAATTGATAGTAATTTCTACTTATTTTATTAGTAAAATGTACTAATTCAAATTTAAGAAGTAGCTAGAAATAAATTTAAATCCAGTTGAATGCATTATACTACAATTATTTTGCTAGTTGTTATTATTTTTTATGAATAATAAAATTATTATTACCTATTACTTATTATTTATCAACATATTTATTTATTCATTTATTTACATACATTTCATTAAAGACATACAATTATTTTTAATTCAACATCCAGAGAATAATAAATTATATTTTCCTAAACTTTTGAACGTTTAAGTGAACAGAAATAGTTTTCTGTGCTTTAATATTTTTTAAAATTACTCGACTGAAAGGAAAAATATTATAATTGAATATTTATTTAGATAAAAATTAATTTTTTAATTGTAAAAAACAATATATTTTGCAAATAAAATTCAAATGGAAGAAGTAAAAAAATATCGCGTCGTTTATTTGAACGTTCGAAACTTTAGGGAAATTAAATTATTATCCAAACAGGAAAAAAAGATTCATATTGGAACATTGAAAAGTTTCTTTAAAATAGCGAAAGTCTTCATTGAAACGAATAAAAATTTCGGTGATGTAGTGAAATTTGTAGTTGTTCGAGGCGAAAGTTTATCGAAAATAATTCAAAAGCAAAAACTCTATATATAATTCTGCTTTATTCGAAATTAGATCAAAATTTATGTTAAATTTAATTATTATTTACTATTATTGTTATTATTATTATTAATAATTATATTATTATATTTATTTATTACTTGAATAGAGTTTGAAACGAAAAAATATTTGTTCTAATAATTTTCTTTAATTTTCTAAATTAGAATTTAAATTAATTAAATAAAGTAATAAATTTGTAGAAAAAAAAAATGAGAATTTATTTTCATTACAACAATTAAATTCAGAAAATTCTATTTTTCTTTTGGGAATATATTAAATTGAGCGGAATTGAAATACAAATATGTGAAAATTTCATTTTTAAGCGTAACAGTTTACATTCGTTATTATTTTCGGAATTTTCTTTGATGTTGAATTTTCATTCTCTCTTTCTCTCTAAATATGAGTTAGTGAAAACTAGTCTGGTAATTAAAAGGAGTTAAAATATTTGACTAAATGGTTAGTAATTTTCCACTTGAATTTTAGTAAAAATTAAAAAAAAAACTTGAATTTACCAAATAAACGTTTTTATTTTTTATGTTGAGTTTTTGTTTCTTCGAAATGTCAACTATATTTACTTTCAGTTTGCAATTTGTAAATTTAGAATAAAATAATCGAAAAATAGTTCGGTAACTAAAATTAGTTGAAATTTTGACTTATAGTAAAAATTTAATTGCTAATTTCTAGCAACATTTTAGTAAAAATAAGAGAAAATTAAATCGGTTGGTAAAGTAGTAAAATTATAGTAAAAATTAGAAAAAAATTAAAACAACTGAAAAAGTAGTAAAATTTTCGTATGAAAGTAGTGAAAATTCTTTGCTAATTAATTAGTGATATTGCTAATTCGAATTTCTCTAGAGATTTAAGGAAAGAAAGTGCGACAGAAAGTGATAACCAAATAATACGTAATGTCAACTAATTAAACGGAAATAAAATAAAACTAATAATAATAAAATTAAGAATTAAAATTAAAATTAAAATTAATCGAAATTAAATTCAAATTAGTACCTAATAGTTAATAGTTAACAATTCGAAATAAAATATTAATAGAGTGAATAGTCCATCTCGAAAATGATGAATAATTGAGCGTGAACAATTAAATGAATATTATATAACTGCACAATAATAATACTTTGAGAATTTTTTTCCATTATCAAGTCATTTGAATTAAAAAAAAAATTGAAAAAAATATAATCTTTAGGCAATAAATGCTTGAAATATATTTTATTTGAAATTTCACTAAATACTCTTTCTTCTATACATAAAAATTTTGCTTGCCATATATTTTTCTTTTCGAATCGTATAAGGTACGTTATTAAAATTTATTATTATTTTCCTTCAAGAGAATATTCTTTGCTAGAGTGATTTATACTAGTTTTTTCCTTGGGAATAATTTTTAAAGAAGGAAAAAGTGGATGTAAAAAAAGCTCTTTATAACAAAATGTTTAAAAATTTTATGCTCATATAATGGAAACAAAAATGAATAAAGTAAACTTTTATTATTTGCAAAGTGAAATATATATTATCTGAAATTCTTGCGATTAGAATTTTTTTTCTGATAATAAAAAAAATAGGACTTTAAAATTTAGGAATAAAAATTACGGAAATAGTAGGAATTTCGTAGATTTTTTTTGTCAAGTAGTGTAAGTCAATCATTCATCAGACTAAATTGTTAATTTTGTCAGTAGTGTGAGTTATTATTTTTTTTCTTTTTTTCTTTTGTAATATTTTTATTTATACTTTGACTTACATAAAATGTATTTTTCGTTTTCATTTTTGTTGTAATTTTCGTTCATTGTGTTTTTATTTTGTACTTCTCGTTTTTTTCGTTTTTTTTCTTTGTTGCTTTTTATTTTTTCTAATATTTTTTTTATTTATTGTGTAATTTTAGTTTCTTTGTGTATTTTCTATTTTCTTCTTTGTTTTCTTTTTTGTATTTTGTTTTTTTTTGTTTTTTTTATTTGTTTTTTTTAATATAAAATCCAATTCATTGAATGTGTCGATTTGTTTTGTAATAATATTCTTGTTCATAATGACGTAGTTGAACTATTTTTTTCTTATTTTTCAATTTGATGGAATACTTGAAAAGTATTTAATGTTGAGAATAAGTTAAATGAAAAGTAGTACACAATTGAATTGTCCAACAGATAGAAATAGAGAAGAAACTTTTTATTCTAGTCCGACATTAAACTTTTCTTTCGAACATTTATATAAGTAGTGAATTTAAGTAAATAAAAGTCATTTTACAATTATCTGAATAAATTATTTTTCTCAACAAGTAGTGCAATCCAATAATAATCGGTCAGGCGCGTTGTTATTTATATTTTATTTTTAAAAAATAATAAAAAAAACTTATTTTTTCACGAGTTTTTGCTTAATAGTTACTTTGTATTTTAATTTATTATTAACTTTTTTGTTCATTCATTATTTATTTTTTATGTATTTTTTTATTTTTTGTTTATTTAATTATTTTGTTTATTTATTTTTTGTTTATTTATTTATTTATTTTTTTTCTCATTTATTTATTTACTTATCTATAGATATTTTCGAGCGAATTGATTATTTGGAAAATATTTTTACTATATTTCTTATTTTAATTTAACAATTTTTGTTTATAATTTAATTTTCTAATTTTAAAAGGAATGGAAACAAAATATAAATAAATAAATTTATTGAAATCAAGAGAATTAAAAAAAAAACAATTTTTTATCATCCCTGCTTTTGTTATTTTAGTTCGTCCATGTTTTATTTAACTTTTCCATATATGTATGCTTTTATTCAGTTTGTGCCATTTTCTTTATACACATCCATTTTTATTTTCTGTAATGGTTTTTCGTTTTACTTAGTTTTGTTTCTTTTTCTTTATACATATAGCTTATTTGTTTTGTTTCTTCGCCATTGTTTTTTCTTATATTCTATTTTGCACATTATTTGTTATTTCTTCATTTTTCCTGCTTTTTTTGTTATTACAATCATTATTTATTTACTAATTAATTCAAATAATTTTCTTTTGGAATTAATTCAAATAATTTCTCTTCGAATTAATTTAAATAATTTCTCTTCGAATTAATTCAAATAATTTCTTTTCGAATTAATTCAAATAATTTTCTTTTGGAATTAATTCAAATAATTTCTCTTCGAATTAATTTAAATAATTTCTCTTCGAATTAATTCAAATAATTTCTTTTCGAATTAATTCAAATAATTTTCTTTTGGAATTAATTCAAATAATTTCTCTTCGAATTAATTTAAATAATTTCTCTTCGAATTAATTCAAATAATTTCTTTTCGAATTAATTCAAAACAGTGTTTTTTTCGAATTCAAATCCATAATTTTTTGTGTGATTAATTTAAATAATTTCTCATCAAATCAATTTAAATAATTTCTTTTTCAATTAATTCAAAAAATTTCTTTTTGAATTTAAATAATTTCTTTTGGAATTAATTCAAAATATCTCTTTTTGATTTCAAATAATTTCTTTTGGAATTAATAATTAAAAAAATTGTTCTTC